TGTGCATGAAAATTATATTAGGAAATAAGATAATTATCCATTTGTGTGCAACTAGTAATTTACTGCATGTATTCGTAAGAATTACTTTGGACTATGTGATGTGGCCTCGGGTATTATTTGTGTGCATGAGAATTGTACCATATTTTTGTATGTTTAATTATAAGTTTTATACTTTTAGTTTAAGAGTCCAAAATTCTTAATCGACGACTTTTTTTTATTGAATTTATGCTCATCTCACATATATTTTTAATATAGGGGAGCATATCCTTCCGTTCAAACAAGAATACAGTTGAAAATTCAAGGAGAATTTATCGCAGACAACATTGGTTTCGTGCAACTTTAATAGCAATCTTGAACATACTTCGTTCAAGGTGTTTTGATCAAAGAATGAAGTCAGGCTTCAAGAACGATGCAATAGTCTACCATAAACATAACATGGTAGAATCATTTTGTGCATGAAGGATACCCCTATCTCATCACGAGGATACGGATGCGGACATCCATATGTTAGGCTAAGTATCGTTATGTTTTACATAATGCTGCCATGACGGCTACTGATTCTAATGGGTGTCCGGCAAAAGTTGAGCTACCAGAGAAGGCTCGCCTGACAAGAGAAGGGGCCCAACGGTGTGCGAACTGTCTGGTGAGTCCATACCTGCACGTATGGGCTGTGTGTTGAGTATATGGTACACATCCAAGCTGCCCAATTAGAATAGTGTCGTAGGAAAAATAGACTGATATGATAGGTCCCGTCATAGCATCTTGTATGTTTGTGTTGCATGACCCCGATAGGGGGTCACTTACTGAGTATTCTAGAAATACTCAAGCCTTGTGCTACTATATTTTCAGATAAAGACAAGGCACCCATGTGAGATCGACGGCGACATCGCACATCCCGGGATCGTGGCACATGCATAGGATAGTTGTTTTACATTTCGTTGTATAGGTTAGAATAGGTTGAATTTCATTTGCATTCATAGTATAGGTTAGTTTATGTTGAATTCCCGTTTGCATCATTTGTATATGTTAGTATAAGTTGAATTGTAACCACATAATAAATCATAGGGTAGTGTAAGACAATGATTTCAGTGTTGTTCTTTCTCCTTTCTTTCCCTTGTATTCGTTATTCATGAGGTAATAAAAGACAAACTTAAGTCGCATTTATGATAAGAGCTCATTTAAGGTAAATTTCGCATTTAAAGTATAGTAATGACCTTAGATTAAGTGGGTAAAATTTAGGGTCGTTTCAGTTAGTATCAGAGCCAGGTTTCGGACGATGTACCAGCCTTCATGTTGTTCCCCGAAGGGGGGTAGACACGAGGCAGTATGCCAGTAAGGACGCTGGGTCCCAAGGGGGGTGGATTTGAGGGCTGTCCCACATTGATTGGAGGAAGGAAAGAGTGCCAGCGAGGACGCTGGGCCCCGTAGGGGGTGGATTGTGATGTCCCACATTAGTTAGGGAGGAGAACAAACCACCATTTATAAAGGTGTGGAAACCTTCCCCTAGCAGACAATATCTGTTAGCGGTGGATCTGGGTCGTTACAAATGGTATTAGCGAAAGGTTATAGATCTTGTAGACTAGCCTATGAAGTAGGCTTGGCATGTTCCACGGTCCAATTGTCGATGCTCCATCGTTGTCAGGTACACCTTGCGTAGGATAGGAGAAGGACAGATATCTTTGTGATATATTTAATGTGGTTGGCTTTAAATATTGAATGTCATGATACGAGTGATTTTATGTTATGATGTGATCTTGTGTCAATGCATGTCTTTACGTTATGGCATTTATGTTTTTTTTTCCCTGAATTTTATAGTAGAATGTAAGGAATGTTATAAGTAAATCATAGACTTAGATAGAATCATTTTCTTGGTTTCTAGAACCATGCCACACAGAGGGCGTAGAAGAGGTAGGAGAGGGAGAGGGCGACCTCCCATTAGGAGATGGGGAAGAAGAGAAGCTGAAAGAAGCTCTTCCCAAGAAGGGTCAACTATTGGACCTTATGCGTTTGAACCACCTCCTGAATACTAACCTCCCCCACAAACTGTACCCCCTCTTAAATACGCACCTCCCCCACAAGCTATACTCCCTCCTGAATACGCACCTCCCCTACAAGTTGCACCCCCTCCAGAAAATGCACTGCCCCCTCAAGCTGTATCACAGGCTGGATAAGAACCCGCCACAAGATTGATGTTGGAGTCACTCCAAACGACAATGCAAACAATGTTGGCCATACAACAAGCTACGTTGTTAGCTACGCAATAAGTCGTAGTAATGACCACACAACCAGCCAACGCGACGGCCACGCAACCGGTGGATGTGATAGCCACATAACCGACCAGAAACCCGTAACCAGCCAGGGGGGCGAGTTGGTTAAAAGATTTCAGACGATATAACCCCCATCCATTTGTTGATTCAAAGGAAGATCCCACAGCAGCTCAAATGTGGATCGCAAACATGGAAACGATCTTTGAATCAATGAGATGCTCTGTTGAACATAAAGTAGCGTGTGCAGCATATGTACTGTAAAAAGACGTAGAAGTGTGGTGGGCGAGTAATAAACAGAGTATCAACCTGGGAGAGAGGATCACAACGTGGGAAACCTTCCTGAAATATTACTATCCGAAGGAAACCTGTATAAAGAAATAACAAGAATTTAACCACTTGACCCAAGGAGAATGCACGGTGGATTAGTATGATTAGGAATTCATGAGATTAAGGAGGTTTGCATCGTCACTAGCAGACACCGAAGAAAAACAAACGGAGAAATTTGTGTTAGGGTTGAACCCGAAGGCCATGCGGTGTGTTGGGGTTGAACCCGAAGGCCCGCCGCATGTTGGAGGCATTTAACCCGAAAACTTACGAGGAGGCCCTAAGGACGGCCAAGACCCTAAAGGAACCCTCGGAGGGGAAAAACTTGGAGCCAATGACATTCATAGGAAAGAAACGCCCTATTGAGGCCGGACTCACGAAGTTCCAACCACCACCCTAGAGACTCCGACATCAGGACGACACCACCACCTAGAGACCTATTACACGATCCAAGGCAGAGAAGATTCAACAAATGAGCACAGATGAAGTTGGAAAACTTTTAAAATGTCAACAACAGGGTTTGAACCTACACAAATAAAGCACAATAAATTTCACATTTGTCTCCTTGGGCACTCAAACACATCAACATTTGTTGGAAGATTTTATTATTTTTTCCTTTTCATTTTGCAATGGACAAATGGTCAAAATTGACTTTGTCTTTTGTGGAGATTAAAGGTGACCGGGATTGAATCCCGACCACAAACGTCTTTTGTCGGGAGACTATAAATACCCACAATATGTTATGTAAAAATCAGATAGGTAAATGAATGAAATTAAGATCTCAAATTGAGACGTTTTCCTTAGAAATCCGAGCATCAATTTTGTCATTTCTAAGTTTGAAGCAATTCTTGTGGTAGAATTGCATCCGAGCCATTCAATCAAGCCTTGATCAAGTTAGATTGTGGAGTGACTCAATTTAGAAAATGGTTTCAAATTTTGCTTCTAGATTTTCGATCAGGTAATCTAATTCTAGCCTTATCTCTTGGTTGATCCAAATTTATAAGTAGGTGTTAATTACTTTGATTCAAGGGTTCTTGCTAAAACAAAAGCTTATATTGTTGGGCTGAAGATTATGGTTGCCTTATCAATTTGGTATCAGAGCGTAGTTTTACATCTTTGTGGCCGACTCTAGAATTGATTTTATTTTTCATTTCTGCTATTGTTTATCTTTTCGTTAAATATGTCCATTTATTTTCTTGTTGTTATTTCCGCCATTATTCATCAACATTTCACTTTGTTCTCATTTTCTTCCTAAAGATCACATTTAGATCTTGAAAAAATAAATCTTATCATATTTGTTCTTACGATTGTATTATAAACGATCTTTATCATTTTTTTAGATCATTTGCATGTTTATTTGAAGATCAAACAAGCTTCGATTCACATCTTTTTCTTCATCCATCTAAATCTAGAACCGTTGTGTTTGATATTTTTTTTTCTCATAATCTACGCTTGAAGACAAATTCTAAATTTCCCGAATTCTGTAAAAAGGAGAGTTAGATTGTTCTTAAAATCTTCACGTCCTTTCTTTTTGGAATTTTTATTTTTATTTTTCAGTGTGCAATTCTATTCAAAAATATCTTCGTGTCCCTTATTTGTTTGTTCGCGTCTTGTTTTATTGTTGTTATTTCATAATTAACTTATCTTGATTGCCTTGAATAGTTTGCTACTATCAGAATTGCTTTACCTATATATTAGCCTACCTTGATCATAATTTAGTCACTTTCCCAAACAGCCTACCTTTGTGTGTATAAATACGAGTGTCCCTGAGTGTAAAATCAGTGAGTTGAGTGTGTGAGGTCCTAAACATATTCCACTACTATTTGTACAATCATGAACCAAAACGGAGGAAATGGAGGGGAGATCAATAAGGCTAGGTGGAGAGAAGCACAGGTCAGAACAATTACTCGTTTGGATCAAGTTATAGTACATTGACAGACCGGATGAAGCGAATTGAAATAGCTTTAGGTAATCTTCAAGGGAGGGAAGTACTCTTGAATGAAGGAGTTGAAAATGAAGAAGATGACAATGTCACCCTTTTAGCGAGACATAGTCCTAGGGGAGGGAGAGATGTTGGTCAAGGGAGAGGAAGAGTCAGAAGAAGGGGTAGAGAAATTTTAGCACAAAAAAGAATTGAGAGGGAGTACCAGTATGAGAGAGAAAAAGAAAAAGGAGTCGGGGGAGTAAAGCTAAAAATTCCAACTTTCTATGGGAGATCTGATCTAGAGGAGTATTTGCAATATGAGAACAAAATTGAGCATGTCTCCGATTGCAACAATTTCAGTGAAAAAAAAAAGTTGAAGCTTGCTGTGGCTGAATTTTGTGATTACGTCATTGTATGGTGGACATCTTTAGAATTAAAGTGGAGGATAAATTATGAAGAACCAATTGAAACGTGGGAGGAATTGAAGACATTAATGAGAAAAAGGTACATTCCTAAGCATTATTCTCGAGTAGTCAAGCAAAAACTCTATATTGTACAACAGGGATCTAAAAGTGTTGAAGAATATTACAAAGAAATGGAGACCCTTATGAATAGAGCATGTATTGATGAAGATGAGGAAGATGCAATGGCTAGATTCCTTAGTGGGTTAAACCGACAACTTGCTCATCAAGTGGATAGGCAAGCGTACTTTGATATGCAAGAATTGTTACACCTTATTGTCAAAATCGAAGGGCAACTAGCTTGGGAGAAGGAGAACTCTAAGAGGTATGGTATTTCAAAGTCTACTACTTTCAACACTTGGAAAAAGAATGAAAATATTGAAAAGATAGATTTCAAAGTTGGAGGCAAGTATGATCTTGACAAACAGAATAAAGCTGAGACCTCTAAGGGTAAAGAGAAAGCAGAGGAATATAAGGAGATTCGAGAAAGAAATAGAGATATCAAATGTTGGAAATGTTAAGGAAAGTGACCAGGATGAGCTAGTTGAAGAAGAAATCTAGGAGAATGAGGAGGAACTGGAAGATAGGAGTCATTTGGTACTTGTTATCAGAAGACTTCTTAAAACTCAAGTTACAGAGAATGATGTTGATGATCAAAGAGACAACCTATTTCACACAAGGTGCTTAGTCAAGGAGACTCCTTGTAGTCTTGTAATTGATAGTGGAAGCTGCACCAATGTCGTAAATACCATGCTGATCAAAAGGTTGCTAATTCCAACCTAACACCATCCTAAACCTTACAAGTTCAATGGCTCAATGACAGTGGAACAATGAAGGTAACTTCTCAAGCTTTAATTTCTTTTACTTTGAGAAAATATAAAGATGAAGTTCTTTCTGATGTTTTACCAATGCATGCTGGAGACATATTACTTGGCTGACTATGGAAATTTGACCGGAGGGTTATGTATGATGGCTATTTGAATAGGTATTCTTTTGTAAAAGATGGTAGAAAATCCACTCTTGTACGTTTGAGTTCTACAAATGTCTCTGCTGATCAATAGTTGGAAGAAAAAAAAGAAAGAGTTCGAGGAAAAAGAGTTGAGTGAAAAAATAGAGAAAAACATAGTGAAAAAAAGAATGAAATTGAAAAAAAAGAAAAGAATGTGAGTTGTTTGGCCAGAGTTGGAGAGGTTAGGAGGGCAATGTTCTCACAAAAATCATCTTTGTACTTGTGTACAAGGAAGGATGTTTGGTCTCTAACGATAACAATTTGTCTTTGCCTAGTATGTTTCAATCTCTTTTAAGGGAATTTGATATGTATTCTAAGATGAAGTCCCTAAAGGACTACCTCCCATTAGAGGTATTGAACATAAAATAGACTTCATTCCAGGGGCAGTCATTCCTAATAGGCCAACTTATAGAGCCAACCCAACTGAGACTAAAGAAATTCAAAGGCAAGTAGAGGAGCTCATGGAGAACGGCTATATACGAGAGAGTTTGAGTCCATGTTCTGTACCAGTCTTATTGGTGTCGAAGAAAGATGGAACGTGGCGCATGTGCGTGAATTGTAGAGCCATCAACAAAATCACGGTAAAGTATCAACATCCTATTCCTAGACTAGACGATATGCTTGATGAATTGCATGGTTCATGTTTATTTACAAAGATTGACTTGAAATCTGGATATCATCAAATTAGAATGCATGTAGGAGACGAATGGAAAACCGAGTTCAAGCTTGGATTGTATGAATGGTTTGTTATGCCTTTTGGGTTAACTAATGCTCCTAGTACATTTATGTGCTTAACGAATCATGTTTTGAGAGAATATTTAGGAAAGCATGTTGTTGTGTATTTTGATAATATTTTAATTTATTCAAAGATTTGCAATGCATGTGGAGCATGTTAAGTTAGTTTTGATTACACATAGAAAAGAGAAACTTTATGTTAATTTTAATAAGTGTAATTTTTGCATGGAAAAAGTTAACTTTCTTGGCTTCATAATTGGTAAAAATGGAGTAGAAGTAGATGAAGAGAAAGTTAAAGCAATCAAGGATGGGCCAACACCAAAAAATGCAAGTGAAGTTTGTAGTTTTCATGGGTTAGCTAGCTTCTATAGGAGATTTATTAAAGATTTTAGCACCATAGCTGCACCATTGAATGACTTAGTGAAAAAGAATGTTGTTTTTAAATGGGTAGATATACAAGAGAATGCATTCAATGAGCTTAAGAATAAATTAACCAATGCACTATTACTTGTCTTGCCTAACTTTCAGAAAACATTTGAAATTGAGTGTGATGCTAGTGATTTGGGCATAGGTGCTGTTTTGATAATAGATGGAAAATCCGTAATGTATTTTAGTGAAAAACTAAAGAATTGTTTGTTTGAAACTACACGAGTGAAGCCCAATAGATTTCAAGCTTGTCTCTTTAACCACTAAAACATATGAACGGTTATTTGAAGATTTTATTGTTTTTATCCTTTTCATTTTGCAATGGCCAAATGGTCAAAATTGACTTTGTCTTTTATGGAGATTAAAGGGGATCGGGATTGAATCCCGGCCACAAACGTCTTTTGTCGGGAGACTATAAATACCCACAATATGTTATGTAAAAATCAGATTGGTGAATGAATGATATTAAGTTCTCGAATTGAGATGTTTTCTTAGAAATTCGAGCATCAATTTTGCCATTTCTAAGTTTGAAACAATTCTTGTGGTAGAATTGCATCCGAGCTATTCAATCAAGCCTTGATCAAGTTAGATTGTGGAGTGACTCAATTTAGAACAAGGTTCCAAATCTTGTTTCTAGATTTTTGATCGTAAGAGGTAATCTAATTCTGGTTTTATCTTTTGGTTGATCCAAATTCGAATAAGGACGTGTTAATTACTTTGATTCAAGGGTTCTTGCTGAAACAAAAGCTTGGATCGTTGGGCTGAGGATTAGGGTAGCCTTATCATCACCTCTGAGATCTAGCTTGTTTGCATTGTCATTGATCCGCTCTAGTACTTGAAAAGGACCATCTCCTCTTGGTTGAAGTTTAGCCTTTCTCTGAATTGGAAACCTTTTCTTTCATAGATGAACCCAAACTCAGTCACCTTGTTTAAAAATCAAGTTCTTTCTTCCTTGGTTCTTGCACGTGACTAGTTTTATTATTTTTGTTTTCAATTCTTTCTTTTGTCTTTGTGAATTTTTTCTATGTATTCGGCTCTTGAAGAAGCTTCTTGATAATGCATCTGCAACCACGTTATCCTTTCCCTTTTTGTAATGGATTACATAAGGAAATGTCTCAATGAATTCCACCCATTTAGCATGTCTCCTATTTAGCTTTGTTTGGCTTTTGAGGTGCTTCAAACTTTCATGGTTCGTATGAATAACAAACTCTTTTGGCCTCAAATAATGTTGCCAAACTTGCAAAGCCCTCACAAGTGATGGTGTTAATATAACACATGCAGAAGCAATTTGGATCTTAGGCACTCTAAGTACATCAATTATAGTAAATTAGCTAGCATGTTCAAAAGTATTAAAACTCAATGAGTTTGAATACTAATCTTTTGTTGCTCAAGTGTCTTTTTCCTCACGAACGGTTTCGAACCACCACTAGTGTCTTCTCTTCACTATTCTCCGGCCTTAGAACGAGATTGTGGAATCCGGTGAGTGACTAAACTTGGGAGGGATTTAGTATATATGAAGAGAGAGTTTGTGAGAGGTTTTTCTTAAGGTTTTTTTCAAAAGCCAACCTTCGAGGTACCATGATCACTCTATTTATAGAGTCATGTTTGCATGTTCATGCAAATTTGAAATCACCAAATTTTGACATTCAAAATTTCACTCAAAAGTTTGGGAGTATGTGGAAAGCATGTATGCTTGTTTTAACCAAATTTTGACACTCAAAATTCCACTCAAATTTGTGGGGTTTATTTTGGCAAGAATGCAAGTTTGGTTAAATGAAATTTTGACGCCTCAAAATTCCACTAACATGGATTTTTTCATTAAATGAAGTCAATAATTTGAATTATTAATTTCAAATTAAAGTAATATTAAATGATTAATTAAACTATTTAATTAATATTTAACATTAATTCAAATGGCAATCCCAATTAATTCCGACACATATTTGTTAAGATATTTAAATCTTATTTAAATATCTCAGATTCTATCTTTTTGTTTAATTCGTAAATAAAACAAAAATGCGGTTAAATATATCGTATATATGTAGCGCATTCTCCCTAATTTGAATTCGAACACTTCGAACTCACTCGTCACACTGTTCTATGGTTTAGTCCGATATGTGCTAGTAGAGGAATCTAATGGACCTATAGATCATGGGCTCCAACGATCCAAGATTAACCGGTTAAACTCATTAACCTTGTTAACCAACATTCGTTAACTACTAAGACATTTCACTATAGCCTAGTAGTTGCACTCCCCTCACTATAGATATATTTCTGTCCATTTGATATAACCATGATTAGTAAGTCGATCCTTCACAGGTTGTTCGTAACTAGAAGGATCCTCTAATGAACAATTGATTTGTGGTCCAACCAGTAAACCGAATCCCTCTCAGGCCAATGAGAGGGTGGGGCCCCTTGTTCAAGACCTAGAGTCAGTACTTAAGAGAACTACCTCTCTTCTATCCCCTAAAAGTGGGTAGGAGTGAATTGCATCTTGCACCCCACGTCCCCAGCCATTTACCTAGTCTTACCCCTGAAATGGGAGGCCTATTGAGTCGGCGAACTTAAGCCACTCTCACCCATGCAAATCTAAGGATAATTCCGAATAAACAGGAGTTCATGATTAGTTCAAGATTAAGATCGAGTTACCTAGGTCATCGAATGAAAAGAAAATCAGTCTCAGTAGTAAGCGACATTATAAAGTGAGAGTGATTTTCTTCATGGTCCGATCTTATGCAATACTCATTGCATAGGACGCCCCCACTCACATGTCTTCGCATGTACAATTTAGTGATCACATTGTTTATGTCATATACAAAAGTGGGCCGCATCCATAGTGTCCCCAGGATAAGGTACTCAGCCTTATCCCTGTACTATAGATCATTTTGACTATATACTTGA